TGTATATGGCAAATTTGGACAAATTTCATCCAATTACTTTAAAACAGTTTTTTTTTTTTGGAAAAAAAAATGTCACAACATCATTATAATATCACGTGCAACACATAGTGAATTAAAATGTAATTGTATGTAGAGGGAAAAAATAACAATGCTTATAATGTAGTAAAACAAGAAAAATAATTTGTTGTTACATGTAAATTAGCACTAATAAATATTATTTTATGAATAATGCTACTTGTACATAATAGAATTATATAATGATTTATATAGAGGTGATGTGTCAAAAAGAGAGTGGAAAAGTTTTTCTTTGTTTTTATATTTGATTGAAAAATTTTGATTCAATAATATCTCACCACATCATGTATATATAAATCATTATGTATATGTAGTACAATCATTATCGGCCATACATTTAACAAGTGGCTTACTTTTCATCCATTTGGGTGCATTAATTTTTAGAAAATTTTGTAATAGAGGTTCCAATTTTTTTTTAAAAATGTATATTCAAGTCCAAAACCTTTTTTTCTTAATACTTACATCCCAAATTTTTAAATAAATGTACGTCGAAAAATCTTATAAATTTAAATCTCGATTGGATCGAAAATGAGCACACTTGATTTTTAAGATTTGAGAAAAATATTGGATTCAGTTTTGTATCTTTTTTATTTTCTGCGATTTTTGGTAGGTTTTTAACGAGGATGGTTGCAGGGTGATAGTGATTGTGCCATTATACTTTGTGATGGAGACCATTTAAGTTTAGGATGTAGATAGTAGAGGTGTAGGTGTGTGGCGGAGTATGGATTTGATGATGATGATGTCGATGGAGTAGGGGTTTGAGGATGGTGACTGTAGATCTAAGAATAGTGTTGCTTGTGGGAGGAGTGGTAGTGTGCTAGTGGGCACGACTGATGGCGGTGGCTGGTGGGAACAAGTGATGATGGTGGTGTAAGTGTTATGCCCTAAGTCCAATCAACTTTGGACATAAACACTTTGAATATATATAATCAATGCATATGTATGACAATATCTATTATTTAATTGAATTAATATTCTAATAAATTAAATAATAGAATCCGTAGATTCAAGTCTTGGTGATTTGTTAATCACAAGGAGTTGTGATTGTGAGATACAAATTACATATGACTAAATCTTAAATCGTCCGTGGTCGAGGTAATAACGAGATACGGATATCGTTATTACGGATAGACTATCGCGTGTGGCATTCTTACTTGTGAAGTAAGTAGCT